GGTGGATATCTTGGGCCCCTTCCCTCAGCTCTCTGGTCGAAGAAGGTTCGTGATTGTCGCCGTTGATTATTTCTCCAAGTGGATAGAAGCCGAGCCCTTAGCCACGATCACCTCTCAGCAATGTGCTCGTTTTCTCTGGCGAAATGTGGTTTCCCGCTTTGGCGTGCCCGTACATCTCATCAGTGACAATGGCCGCCAGTTCGTAAGCCAGTACTTCCAGAACTTTTTGGCCACGATCGGGACGACTCACATCCGATCGTCGGTGGCTTACCCGCAGGGAAACGAACAAGTGGAGAATGCTAACCGGACGATCTTGGAAGGTTTGAAAAAGAAGCTACATCCGGCTGGTCGTAGTTGGGCCGATGAGTTGCCATATGTGCTGTGGACTTATCGGACGACCCCGAGAGAAGCTACTTTAGAGACCCCTTTCGCCCTGGTTTATGGAGCCGAAGCTCGACTCCCGATTGAAGCTTGGATCCCGACCGATCGAGAGAGAACTTACAATGCGGAGGAGAATGAGCATGCGATGGCCGTAGACCTCGATGCGGTCGAAGAAAAAAGAGAGCTAGCCGCTCGGCGTATGGCCGAATACCAGAAGCATGTTAAGAGTTCTAAAGACGTTCGGGTCAACCCTCGTTATTTTCAGGTTGGAGATTATGTTCTACGACGAAGGGAGGCCAGTCAACCTTTAGAGGGCGGAAAGCTAGCTCAAAACTGGGAAGGGCCGTACATCATCAGCGCGATCATACGGCCGGGTACATACCGACTGGAGACGACAACCGGTTGGGTAATCGAGGGGACTTGGAATTCCGAGCACCTCGTCATGTTTAGGCATTAAGCCTATTTTTTGTAATCTTTGGACGAAGAGGGGGCTTGACCTGTGTGTAGGTCCCGGTCGTCGTTTGTAGTTAAATTCCTATGTTTGTAGATATTAACCGCCTGCGAGCGGGAAGGTTTTAATGTATATACGATCGGTGATTGCTTGACCGCTTGCATGCGGCGGCCCGGTCGGTCATTTTCTTTACCTTCGGTGCACGTAGATCAATTTATCTTCAAGCTACACCGACCGGGCGAATTTATCGACCGGTCAGACGCGCTCCACATCGGCGGACATTCGAGTCACGCCACCGGTCGGGGAAGCCAGGAGCACACAGCATAATTCCCCGATCTGATCACTTCTTGTCCACTATTGCACTCACTCGTGCCATGAGAGCACAATAGTGTGGGGGCTGGGATGAAGGAAGTATTTACAGGCCCGTCGTTCGGAAGTATCCCGACCGTAGAGGCTTACTTATTTTCAAAAATTTTGACAAGGCCTGGAGACCGGGTAAACCCGATCAGGTTGGCCAGTTTGACGTCGAAGTCTTGGATGCGCGACCGGGCCATAAGGCCGTAGGGTCGGGTGTCGAACGGATCGAGTAGTGCAAGACCGGGCCGTAAGGCCGCGAGGTCGAGCATTAAGGATCGGCATTTGTATGACTAAAAGTAAAAATGTGAAAAGAAAAAACGAGCGAAGTAACTTTGCAAAAAGAGATAGTATTAATCATCAAAAAGTGCCCGGTACAATTTCGGGACCGGGCTCCTGGTACAATTTCGGGACCTATTCTACTTCTTCGCCTCGGCATCGCCCTTCCTCGGCGCTTCCTCCCCGCTCGCCGTAGCCCGATCCTTTGGATCAAAAGGTGCTGGCCCCGGGTCGGCTACGTCGTCAGGGAGTGTGGTCAAGACCAACTGAAGATCATCCCCTTCAAGGGCCTGCTCCATGATCTTCTTGGTCTGATCACGCATTTTTCGTTGACCGGCTTTGTACGCCCACCGGCCAAACGTCCATATCAGCTTCTCCCCGACCTCTGTGCCTTGAACGGACTGGAGAAAGCGAGTGCCCGATTTGGTGTCTTGGAAAAGATGCTGGGCGAGCTTATCCGGGTCGTTCTGGCGAGCCTTGAGCTCGGCTGCCTCCCCGATCGCCTGTTGGGCGACCTGCTCGGAGAGGTCCCGCTCAGGTTTGACCTTCTTTAGCTGAGCCTCCAGATCCCGGATCTCCTATAGCCGCCGGTTGGCGACCTTCTTCAAGGCCTCAGCTTCGTTGGCCTGAAGGGCCCGTTGTTGAAGAAACTGGGCCGCTCGGGAGATCTGCATATACGAACGACCGTGTTAGCCGGACAGCAGTACTTCGAGAAAATTCAGAAGAAGGAAAATACGCTTACCTCGGCCAAGTCGTAGCCGATCTTCTCGGCTACCTGGCTCGGGGTCAGCTTGGAGAAGTCCTCCTTGGCCGACCCGGCGTTCCCGATCCGAGCAAGGATCGAAGATCCGCCTCTGCTGCCCCCGCCCGATGGGGTCGAGCTGTGTTGTTCCCGGCGCCGCTTCAAGGCCCCGGTCTCTGAGGTGGTCTTTTCTGCCACCTTCTCTTTCCCCTTCCCGACCGCCACTCGGGAGACCAGGACCTCTGAGGCGTCCACCACGAAGCCTTCGGTCGTGGTGATGGTCGACGCCCCAATGGGTTGGGCAACCGGGATCTCCTTTTCCCCGGCCGGCTTGGCTTGGCCTTTCTTTTTGCCAAGGGAAATCTTGGCCACCGGGCGCACCGGGACATCCTCATCTCCGAAACCGGCCATTCCTGCAAAACAAAACAAAATAGGTTAGGTCGAGCTAAAGGCTCAGCCGGGCTTTTGAGATCGGTGAAAAGGGCTAACGTCGCACCTTTGCCCTTTCGTTTGCCCCGGGCGGGCATCTTTGCGATCGTGACGCCACGGGGCTCGGGCTTGTATTTATCGGGTATATTATATACAGGCTCGGGCAAGTCAGCCCCTTCGAGGGACTTGGGCGTCTTGAAGATTCGATACTCGTAGATTTCGCCCGAGATTTTAGAGACGGCGTCTATGAGGACCTGGGTCTCGCTTGGGATGACTTGTTTCCGGAAACGCTGGCTCCAGACCCTCTCGACCGGGAGGATCCACGGATCATACTTCACTGAGAAGATCCGGTTCTTCCACCCCCGGTTGTTCCCGGGCAGCCCTTCGATCGAACATCTATCCGCTCGGGATTGTATCATCAGAAATCCACCCCCATACGCGGCCGCTAGCACCTTCACTTGGTAGACAAAGTTGAAGAGCTCCATCGTACAGGATACGTCGTGCCGATTGCAGATCTGGGGAAAGCATGCGATAATCCGATGCGCGTTCGGGCAAATCTGCCCGGACATAACTTGGTAGTAGCCCAAGAATGCTGTAAGGAGGCTGGAAAAGGGGAATGTGATCGGGGCCATTAGCGAATCGTAATGCAGCCCGATCCATTTCCCCTGGTGCCGCTCGATGATATTTTCGAGCTGCCTGCTGGTATCGAACTCAACCCGACCAGCAAGAGTCGCCGCAATTTTGCTTGCTTCTCCTTTTGTCAGCAAGCTCTTCTGGCCTTCAACGCTCTCGCTGTTGAGGAATTCAAACCCGTTCCCGCCCGGTGGCGCCGGCCCGGTCGGGTCCTCTTCATCCGCTTCGGCTTCGTTGGCCCGGTCTCCGCCCTCAGGCTCGGCTCGAGGGTAATCCCCTATTACCCTCGTAGGCGTTTCCCTAACGCCTTCGTCCGGGAGGCTTCGTCCGCTCGTGGACGTTGCCTCGCTCCCCGACCCACTGGAGCTCGACCCCGAGGTCCCTGACGAACCTGATGACCCTGCTGGCTCGGGGGCTCGGTCGGGAATGGGCTGTGGTCGTTGTTCGACCTCTGGGGAGTAGGACATGATGTCCACCTCCTCGCTGCTGTGCTCGATTGCGTCGTCGTAGTCTGCGATCGAGGCGTTCTGGCTATCCGAATCCGACATGTTTTCTACCTAAAGGTCGGTCGGGGTTAGTACAGGGTCGGGAGGTTAGCTCAAAGTTAGTCCTATCCTACTCCTACGCAAAGCTAAAAACAAAGTAAAAAGCTGAGGGATCAAGAGCTTACCGATTGCTGGTACTTTGCTCGAGGGAGAGAACTTGAAGCTTGGCTTTGCTCGACTGGTTCGCTGAACTGATGCTCGGGACTCTCTGAGGGTACCGATTGCTTCAGAAGATTGAGGAAAGTTCAAATGAAGGCCTCAGGGGCCTATTTATAGGAGAGCGTTTGGGCGGGAAAATCATCCACTTGCGTGACACGACCAGCGCTGACTCCGAGGTGACGGTTGCAGTCGCAGAGGCCGGCAGTGGCCGACACGTGGCGAGGAGGGGAATGACAGCTGGCCGGTCGGTTTAGTGGCCGACGGTTGGGCTTCTTCATCCCGACCCATTTTTTCCCGGACGTTCAAAAAGGCCCGGGCTGGGGGGCTCTTGGTAGGGAATATCCCGACCGACATAGCTTCACCGCGACCGAGAAGCCTTTGTCCTTTTCTCTTTGTCTTTGCAGGTAACAGGTCGGGCTCCTTGTGAAGAACCCGGTCGGGGTCCGACCGGGAGTTGCCCGAACGACGATGTCAACCACCGAGCGGTAGCCCTTTGGCGAAAGAGCTGACGAAGGACACGTGGCAGCTCTCTACATCGACAGGCAGGGCACCCGGGAGGATGACACGTGGTGGCTACGTGGAGGACATGCCGAACGGCTGGAATCCTGTCCCCGGCATAACGGCTATAAATACCCACAGTAGCTACAGTGTGAGGGACTTTTGGACGATCGATAGGTTGTTGTTAGAGAATCCCGACCGCAGTCAGTCGGTACCTCAGAGCAACCAAGTAGATTGTACTTAGGGCCTTTACCGTGATCAATAAAGACATTTACTTGCTTTAATTGGTCTCGAGTTATTTCATATTGCTTACGTATAATTAGCAGTATCAGGGGTTATTTAAGTTCGATGACTTAATTGATATTTCTCAAATAGTTTAATGGCTTATTTGTACTTTATTCCTATTAAATATATACTTAGTTTATAATTATCAAGTTTGCAAAAAAAAAAAAAAGTAAAAAAAAAAAATAAAAGTGGCATTTTTTCTAACACGTGTGCCAACTAAATTGCCTGTGCGGCTGTGCAGCAGTGCAGGTAAAAGGTTGGGATCATCATGTAATAATATGAGGATTTCCCAAGTTGTCTTTAGTTTGTCTACCTCTACTCAATCATGCATGCGTGACCTGCATGGCTGTATTCAAAAACCGAGGACTCAGTACAAAAAACAAAACAAATAAAAATCTACGAACCAAAAGTCTTTGGCGCGGCCAAACAAAGAAAGCTTAATTCATTCCGAATTTAGTATAGTAATTTGTTGCTTGATTTTGATGTTATGATGGAAGGCAGAATGTAAGTTTCGAGTCTTATTAAAAACATGAAGAAGAAAGAGATTTAAAAATTATGAATTGGACCTCTGGACATAAAGATTAGGATTTGATAAATGGATTGATTGCGAAATTGTGATTTACATTTACAGTGACTATATAAGTATGACTTAAGTACTTCGACAAAACTGGAATCACCTAAATATTTATTTAAAAAAAAAATTTAATTCTAAAGGCAAACCATTTTTTCTGCAAAGATATCTTTATCCATCTGCTTACCCTTCAGCCTATCATCAGTGCCATTGCCGTCTCCGCCTCTACAAAATCCAAACAGCAGGCACCTACGTGTTCACGTAGAAATTTCCCATTTTTTCTACTATACCTTGCCGTTATTGTTGCCAATTAAACTATGTATATCTCTTTATGTGTATCTCGTTTTTGCATAGAAAATCTGGAAATGATAACTCAAAAGAAAATGTAAAATTTTGGAAGAGCAATTAACCATCTATATAAGACAGCTGCAAGGATAAACAAGTACTCCAACACCACCTCACATAGATGGAAGCCTTATTAGCTCTTTTCACGTTCTCACTACTACTTCTTTCAGCCTTGTGGCTTTATGCAAAAAAGTCTATAAGCAAGAAAGCCCCGCCGCCACCATTGCCACCGGGGCCGCGCGGCTTCCCCGTGGTGGGATACTTGCCATTTCTCCGCCCCAATTTACACCACCACTTCACAGACCTCGCCCGCAAGTACGGCCCCATCTTCAAGCTCCAACTCGGGAGGCGCCTTGTTGTGGTAGTCAACTCACCCTCCCTTGCCAAAGAGGTGGTTCGCGATCACGACGCTATTTTCGCTAACCGCGACCCGCCCATAGCAGGAATTATCGGCACGTATGGCGGCCGCGATATCGCCTTCGCCCCCAGCGGCACCTACTGGCGCGAGATCCGCAAGGTGTTTGTACGGGAGATGCTGAGCAGCGCCAACCTCCGAGCATGCTACGAGCACCGGAGAGAAGAGGTTAGAAAGGCCATTAGAAGTGTGAAATCGAGGATAGGTGAACCTGTCAACATTAGGGCGTTGGCTTCTTCTACTGAAATAAATGTTATAACGAGTATGATTTGGGGAAGTACGTTGGGATGTGATGAAGCAAAGATTGATCAAATTGGAGCAGAGTTTAGGGAGATAATGGGGAAGTTTGTTGCCATGATAGGTGAGCCTAATATCTCTGATTTCTTCCCCTGGCTTGCTAGATTGGATTTGCAGGGAGTACAGGCAAGGATGGAGGATATGGTGAAAGTTGTCGACAATATTTTTGATCCCATCATTAATGAAGGTGAAAAAAAAGTTTCTGAGAAATCTCGTAGCATAACCAAGGATGACGAAAAAAAGGATTTTCTGCAGATCCTCTTAGAGCTGAAGAATCGTGATGACAACGCTGGGAAGTCATTGGATTTCCAAGCAATCAAGGCCATGTTGCTGGTATGTACTGTTTTCCTCACTTCATTTTAGATCAAATATAATATTATTATTAGTTCTATCATCCATCTCTAAAATGATTTGTTAGTATGTTTGAATCTACTAAACATGCTATAAGTAAATCCAACAAAATTACTTCAAAAATATAAAATTCCCCTTCCAGAGAATCAAGTATTTACCACTAGTTCAAAAGCTATAATTCACGGCCAATGTACAACTTTATTTCCTTATAATAAACTGGTTACATTTTCGAGAGATAGCTTAGGGTGATGGACTTAGCCCTTTACTAGCCTCCACCGAACAATCCCCCACCAATTGCTAGACTTCCTTTTATCCACTTCCATCCAACAATTCTCCTTCCAAGCACCCGTCATTAACTAGTACAGTACAAATATTCTTAATTGTACAGTTTAGGATTGCATATAAATATGATTTTAACTCTGAATTTTTATCATCACCATCACAACTAATAAATGAATAGCTTCATTTTCGTGGACGTAAACACATTGTTGAACAAAGTAAATCTTGTCATCTTTACTTTTTGCCATTGTTAATATTTTGTGTCCTAGTTACTCTCAACAAACGCTATTCCAATTTTAAAAGTCATTGCTATAACATTTGCTTACTTACTTTTTAACTCCTGTTATTTTAACTATATCTATATATATATATAGGATATTGTGATAGGCGGGACTGACACTACAGCAACAATGGTGGAATGGGTTATGACAACATTACTTGATAATCCAGAAATAATGAAAAAGGTCCAAAAAGAATTAGAAGAAATTGTTGGAATGACAAGTATTGTTGAAGAGGTCCATCTACCAAAGCTCAAATATTTGGATGCTGTTGTAAAGGAAACATTTCGTTTATACCCTGCATTACCACTTCTAATCCCCAAGTGTCCAAGTCAAACTACACAAGTGGGTGGATACACAATCCCTAAGGATACAAAGGTCTTTCTAAACATGTATGCAATACATAGAGACCTTAAACTCTGGGACAATCCTTTGAAGTTCAGCCCTGAGAGGTTCCTTAACCAAACCTTTGGTTTAGACTATACTGGCAATGATCATAGGTTTCTGCCATTTGGATCTGGAAGGAGAATTTGTGTTGGCATTCCCTTGGCGGAGAAAATGCTAATTTATATTTTGGGTTCCCTATTGCACTCCTTTAACTGGCATCTTCCTGAAGGTGAAAAGATGGACTTATCCGATGGACTTGGACTTGTCATCAAGAAAAATACTCCTCTGGTTGCTGTTCCAGCACCGAGGTTACCTAATTCCGAGCTTTATCAATAATTTCGTAGAAATATGTCCATTTGTAAAGGGCATATAGGTGTCCAAAGTGTCATCATCATTATATGTGTGTAATAAAACTGGCGTCGTCTATCTATACTTTACTAGAATCAAAAATAAAAAATTTATAAGCAACGATTCATATATAGCAAAAGAATGTTTGTTGAAATATAATGTTGCTTATTGTACTTGTCATCCTTTATTTATAAGCTCGGCTAGTTATCAAATCTTTACTATTTCAAAAGTCTTGTTGTTCTAAAGTTGTTAGTGTTTCAAACTTCTATTGTCTCATCCTTAAACTTCTTCTTCTAGCTAGCAAAGTCTTGTTGTTTGAAGAGACTTGTGTTATTGCATAACCTCCATTGTCGCATGTGTCAGCATTACGTCACCACCAAACTTGTGTTGCGTTAAAATCTTTTTGTAATAACTTGACACTTTGCGGTGAATTTGTAGCAATGCCGATAACTCTTTAAAATGTTAATTTTTAGAAGAAAATTTTTTGGGAGTTTAAGTGATCAATCTTCCGTGTAACGCAAAATGAGTTAGGAGTGACTACATTATTTACAATCTAAACCACCGTTATACTTTCTCCACCATTCCTAGTCTGAACTTCTACTAGATGAATTTTTTTGAAATTGATAAGTGAAATTCTTAATTAGTACTTTTATGTGCACAATTGATATCAAATTCATATAATTTCTTTTTAATTAGAAGCTAAGTATGTGTTTATTTGATTCCTTTGTGTCATTTATTAGGTGATTTGGATGCATTGATTGTAACATCAAGTAAATTAGAGCTCAATTGGTTGTGTTTCGAAGTCATCGATCTTGACACAATTCTAATGCGTGTTCTGAGTCATGATAGGTCAAGAGAGTGAAAAAGGGCGAGTTGGAAATATCATGGCATGACTCGGGGGCCAAAGGAACAAAAGAGATGGAGAAATATGTATTTTGGAGTGAATATCATGGCTCACGTTGGCATTCACACCATGAGTCCTACCGTGACCACGGGCCCATAATATGTTTTAAGTTGTAATTTTTGCGCAAATTGAGCGGTATAAATTGCCCTAGGCGGTTATTTTTAGGGAACTTTTCATTTTTCACTCTCTCTCCAAGGTTTACTTAGAGAGAAAACATCTCCAAACATTTCATTTGTCTAATCAATCCAACATGACATTCGACACGGGCGTGTCTGTCAACACATAAAGATCTCCTAACCAACTCTGTAACTAACTTAGTTAGTTTGCCTCCCAATTAACTAACTGTTTGTATATAGATAGAATAGTGTACTATTGTAGCATTGATACAATTCAATTCAGAACTTTTGGTTTTCATTCTTTCTCTCCTACATTTTGCATCTTCCTGCTACTAATCTGACATGGTATCAGAGCGTCAATAGTGTGACGTCCACCAATCATGGTTCAGCATGGAGCTTCGTCGATGCCGGGAGTATCTGGCCAGAATCAGAATCAGAACCCCACTCCGGCTCAGGCTACGATTCATGCAGGGTATTTTATCCAAATGATTTGACAAACCCCCTGCATATTCATACAAATGAGAATCCAACCCTACAGCTCGTGACGATGCAGCTAGAGGGCAGATCCAACTATCACTCTTGGGCTCGAGCCATGGAAATGGCATTGAGGTCCAAGAACAAGATGAGCTTCTTCAATGGTCTTGTGGCTATTCCGGTTAACACTGATCCGAAGTTCTACTACTGGGATCGCTGCAACACGATGGTCCTATCTTGGATTCTTAGATCCGTTTCGTCCACCATAGCTCGAAGTGTCCTTTGGATCAACACCGCTGAAGGTGTATGGAAGGATTTGAAGAAACGTTTCAATCAGCGTGATGTTTTCAGGATTGCTGAGATCCAGTCACAAATCTACCAGACAAGGCAAGGTAACTCTAGCATAAATGAGTACTTTACGCAATTGAAGTTGCTATGGGATGAGCTTCACGTGTTGAGACCAATCCCTAGCTGTGAGTGCTCTCCAACTTGTGAGTGTGGAGAAAACTGTCAGAAAAAGTGAAGACACACCTGGAAAACGACATGTTGTCTGCTTTCCTCACTAGCCTGAATGATAGCTATACTGCTACCAAACGGCAAATCAAGTTAATAAAGCATTTGCCTGATGTTGGTGAGGCATTTTCCATGGTTTCACAACAAGAAAGGAAAGTGGAGCTTGTGTAACACCCCGTGTTACGACCCCTAAACCAAATTAATTAATTAATTACTCACCCTAAAAAGGGAATTAAAATCCATTAATTAGCTAAAAGGGGGCCCACCATAGTCCATGGGCCCTTATCCCTAAAGCCAATCCCTTAGTCTTATAGGAAATAGAATTAGCAAACCCATACCACTTAGACCCTAATTGGGACTCTTAGATATATAAATAGGGACATAGGAGGCACCTAGAACTCACACCACAATAACTTTCACCACACAAGAATTCCCAAGAATTCCCATAGGAGAAATCAAGAAAGAAGAAATTTTAAAGAAAGACCCTTCATAGCTAAGGAAATTAATTAAGGCTAAGAGGTAACCCATGTCTCAACAAAACCTATTTTCCTTGCTATAATCTCCTTCTTTGGCTCCCTCTATTTGCTTGTGTCTTGATGAATTTCTTCATGATAATCGTGATATAATCTTGTTGATTGATGTGATGATTTTATGTGTGATCTTGATGATCTTGATGTTAAAAAAGAGGTTCTTGATGTTTGTGTGATGATTCTTGATAAATCTTGATGGTTCTTGATGATAAAGATAAAATATGATTTTAATGATCGGGAAGGGTTTAGAGCCCTAAGTTGGATTGGGAATTTGTATTGTGATGTTCTCAATATATATTTGGGAGGGAATTCGCATGTTCGGGTGTTGTTTATGTTTAGAAGTCATGTTAGGATATGTTCAATATGTTGCTAATTGCCTATGTAGTGTCGTTATTTGCGTTTAAAAGTGTCTAAGCATGGTTTCGAGTTCCACAAAGGATCCCGGGACGTTTATTTTGATAAAGAGTCAGTGGGGGTAGGGGGACCCGCCACCTACCCGCTGCCCAAAGAGACACCGCCAGGCAGCGGGCAGGCGACTGCCCGCCGGGCACCCGCTGCCCGGAGAACTATCGCCGGTGGGCAGCCGGCGGGTGGCCCTCCACCCACCGGCTACCTGCTGGTTTGTTGCCCACTTCGGGTCTTTGGCTTTCCCGTTTGATGTTCCCCAATCCCCGTGGTGTCCCAACGGACCCCGTTTGTCATGCGTGAGTCTAGTTTGATGTTTCGGGTACCATTCGTAGGTTAGAAGAACCTCAGGTATTGCATACTAGTTGAATCGGTAACCCGTTGGCCTAGGAGGAAGATGCATGAACCCCTTAGGACTATTCTTAGTATGTGAATGATCACACGTAAGTTTATTTATACGTCTTCCCCTTCCCAATGTGTCAATACGTGCTATTATGTGTTATGTGATGCATGATTCCCCAATTTGATTGCGATCAAATTGTGTGTTCCTAAGCTGCGGTTCAGAAGTTGGCTGCGGTCAAATTGGTTACTTATGAGCTGCGGTTCATTTTCTTGGCTGCGGTCAGTGATTCACTTCTTGGGCTGCGGTCCACATGGGCCTCGTGTGCTATGGTCCACCGACTGGACGCGCCAGGCGGTGTGTAGGTCCATTAGCCCAAGGAAGGCTGCGATCCATCGAGTGTATGGGCCAGCGGTGTGTAGGGTCGTAGTCTCCGAAGATCATCGCCTACCGAATGAGTCCCTCAGGCGGTGTGTAGGGATTGATCTACTACGACCCACCGACTGAGTTCGTCAAGCAATGTGTAGGGTCGTAGTCCCCCCTTGTAAAGAGGATCACAGTCCACCGACTGAGCGCGTCAGCGGTGTGTAGGACTGTGATCCGCCGTCGAGTTCGTCGACGGTCTATACGGTTGGTTGCGATCAACCCCTTCATGCTGCGGTATGAGGTAGGGTGCTGTGGGCCCGTGTTAGTACTACACGTACTAACCCTCATGTTCGGGGTATGCGATTGATCCCGTGGCACCACCAAAGTATGCTTGTGTGACTTGAATGATTATGTGAATGATTTGAAAGCGAACGGTGACCATAGATACATGTTCTTTATGATATTGTCTCTATATAACTGTCTGTCATTGCTTAATATGTTTATCCCTATCTGTCGAGTCTATTCCTTGTTTTAAAGCTAGAGTCTCCTAAGTTTATATCTTCCTGCTTCAAAATGGTTTTCCTATAATATATATATATATATATATATATATATATATATATATATATATATATATATATATATATATATATATATATATATATATGTGTGTGTGTGTGTGTGTGTGTGTGTGTGTGTGTGTGTGTGTGTGTGTGTGTGTGTGTGTGTGTGTGTGTGTGTGTGTGTGTATGTATGTATTTCAACGTGTTGGAGTGGGTTACCAGCATCATTCGCTGAACAGATATATTTGGCTTTCAGGCACAGATGAGTAGACCCCGGAGCGCGCTAGAGATCCGGAGCGTAGATTAGTTAGTTTCCCTTTCGGCTTGCGTGCCATAATTATGTATTGACATTGCTTCGAGAATATTTAGTTAGTTTAGCCTGTGCATCTGAGTTCTCCAGCTCAGATGTGGCATAGCACCCCGCACACTTATACCTGATTTTGGGATTTAATGAGAACTCACCTTTATTTTATAAGTTTTAAAAGTCTTAAATTTTCGGGGTGTTACAGCTTGTGTCTACCACCATTGGAGACAACATCACAGGAGCCAATGCCTTTTCACTAAGGCAGATAACAGTAACAAAAGGGGCTTCCCAAGTTAGAAGCAAAAGCCAATGTGTAGTTATTGTGGCTATACTGGGTATACTGTAGAGAAGTGCTACAAGAAACATGGCTACCCCCCAGGTTGGAAGCTAAGAAACAAAGGAAATTCAGTTAATATGGTGCAAGGTCCTATGGAAGAAGGGGGCAATTCAGAGATCAGTTCTTCTTTTACTCAAGAAGATTGCAGAAGGTTTCTTGAGTTCATGCAGCAAGAAAGAACCAAAAACAGCACCCTTCTTGATCTGAATCCACAGGCTAATGTCATGGCAGTCAATTTCATTCCTAATGCTCATTATGACGGTAAATT